GCGGTGCTGCGTTACAATCCCCCATGCCCCTTTGCGGTGCTGCGTTAAGGAAAGTCTGAAGTTGAGATGTGGCAGTTTGCATCGACTGACAATAATGCTGCCAAATTACCTAGGGACAGCATGAAAAACAGCTTAGGGCACTGGCTGGCTCACACAGTTGGTAACAGGACCCAGAGCCTTTTGCCTCTGTGAAACTGGCTCTCACGTAGCCTAGGCTGGTCCTGATCAAATGTTATTCCTGTCGGATGGCCTCTGGCTGGACTATGTGAACTGAGTTAGCGGGTAAGATTCAGTTCTGTGCCCAGCGGCCAAGAGTCCACAAAATTCCTCATCCCAATTGGTTGTTTAATGCAGTTGTGTTATTGACATTTAACTGCTAAAACCAGTGACATGTTGTTGTCTCCAGAAGGCAAAGATTGTGGATGAATGGAGTGGCTTCCGCCCTGTGCGCTACACAGTTCGGTTGGAGAGAGAGGCAGTTCGTCATGGACCTTTACAATCAGAGGTACACCGCGTTCTGTACGTAGCAATCCGCTGGAGTCCTATGTAATGGCACTTGAAGCAATACGTTTTGTCAGATCAATCACGCGGCTCCTCTGCCATAGAATAACCAGTTAGCTGCTAAATTAGTTTTGCACTTTCGTTTGGATGATGGTAACGAAGCATCAACATTCCACTCACATTGCTTTGTTTTCATGCAGACTATAGAGGTCAGCTCCGCTTAAAATATGCAGGGTTGTTCATATTTTTGTGTTGAATCTACTCCCTTCATGCTGAAAGTGGGTGTGTATACTAAGGGGCTGATTTTACAAAATTGGAGCTCAAAGCCTGTGGCATTTTTGCAAGTGAGCCTTTGTCTCCCGTCAGAAACATCTGACCCTAAACCAGCTTCTAAGGCTCTCAAAGATCATTATCCATGTTACCAACTTAAACACCATGAAACGTCAGTCGTAAGGATTATCGGCCACCCTCAGATTTATTCCAATGATTCCCAGTTTAAAACACATCTAGTGGCTGAGTGGACAGGGACCCAGTTTAGTAACTTGAAATCTGGCACAGAATTGTAAAAATAAATGAATGAGAGTTGTAGTTACTTAGCACCTCTGAAATCACACCACTTTAAGTGCCTAAATGTGGAATTAGGTGTCTAATTTTGGGCACTCCAGTTTCTAAAATTTGTCCTGTGTGTTAAAAGTTCACCAGGATAACATCCCTTAAAATGTACCTGCTTATCTGCATCTTGTGATGAAGGAGCTCTAGGAATCCAAGTTTATATGTGCCATCCGTTCTCAGGGCCCTCTGTGCAGCCCCATTTTGTTTATGCCCCAATCACTCCTCAGGGATTTCATTTTAATTTCCGTTGGCAGGCCTGTATTGGGACTCTGTGATTTGATTGGGTGTGTATGTGTGCAAAGCTCTGCAGAAGAGATTAAAGCTCTAATAGAGACGGCGACTGTGAAATGTAATTAAATTTGATTAAAATATATTCAATTTAGCTGGAGATTATTCCAAGTTAGGATTCTTGGAAAGAAACCAGCATATTAATTGAGACCCTTAGCATGGCGCAAAGCAGTGCAGTATTCAAATTAATTTATAGATCACTCTGTTCTTTTATCATCACATCCTCTCTACATCATCTGGGTAGAAGACATACGTTTGGTTATTGATCCTGATCCTGAGTCATTCTCCTGCTGAAACAAAGTAATTTACCGTGGCAGGCACCAATAAGAAGTTGGGTATCACAGTTTGTACTTGCAGGAACACGACCGTAAGCGCCGTGGATGCTGCTGTGATTCTAAAGGGTGAAGAGCTGCACTGAAGGTAGCTGTTAAGGACCTGATCCAGAGCCCTCAACAGGACTCTCTCTGGTCTTCAGTAGGCTTTGGATCAGGCTCTGATTGTCTGTGGCCAAGGCTATCGTGACTTCAACCAGGAGATTGCTGAATAAACCTGAAAACAGAGCGACATGTTGTGAACCACTCAAAGATCAGTTGTTTCCCTGCCCAAAGCCAGATGCTGGCCCAGTACATGGGGCGGGAGGGAACTTGCCATGAGTGAATTCACTATGCATCCCAAAGCTTCCAGATTTAAAGAGCAGTTGTGGTCAGGAAGGTGATTCTGACATGAGGGCTCTGTGGTAGATGCAGGCTCTGGGCTGTGCAGGATCTCTCTCCAGATTAAAGACAAGGGCAGCTGCAAGCTGCTCCATTTCATGTAAATCAGGTACAGGCCCCAGGTTCCTGGCAAACTGCCACAGTAGCTCTCAGCTGCACAGAGACATCTCTGCGCTAGGCCATAGGACCAGCTTGCAGCATTGGGGGCTTAATCGCTTTCAGGTGATGACAGGAGAAAGAGAAAAACAACTAACTGGGATGTGTTTTTACCTAGTATCCAATTCTAGTGCATTCTGATGTAGTCCAGACCCTGTCGTGGGCTGTCGTCCTCCAGCTGTGAAGCTCTCCTGGCCTCAGAACTGTAGCTGCTGATTGGAATCCTCTTGAACAGTTTACTATTTTGCAGGGTTACATTGTGGCATTTGAACCCCAGCGTTTAAGTTGCCGTGGCTTTTCCACATCCACATTTCCATCTCTTTTAGGTGATACACAACTATGGCCACGGTGGTTTCGGACTCACCATCCACTGGGGTTGTGCCATGGAAGCCGCCAGGATCTTCGGAAGGATTCTAGAAGAAAAGAAGCTGGCCCGACCACCACAGTCCCACCTTTGATTTAACAGAAATACTCTAATGATCATTCACATTTTTTCCATGGCAAATCTGCGATAGGCCCACAGCAATAGTAGAGGATGGATGGGAAGAAACTGTTGGTTGTGTGCAGCAGTCACATGTCCAACCATAACACCAGTAGCTAGGAAGTCGCGGGGCAAAGGCAGAAAGAAATAACTCAGTGATGCATGTTCTCTGTTTGATGCCCCCCAGCAGCTCCAAGACTGGTCTCTAGGGTAGAGTTTTTGGATTGTTACCAATTAACTCCCTGTTGCTACTGTTTGCCAGGCGGCTGGCTCATCCTTGCTCTGTTCTCCTATAAACTACACCATGGAAACATAAATAAAACCTGTGTTATTGTAGATGGTCCCTGTAGTGAAGCACCCAGACACTGCTAGGTCAGTCTCCAAAGGGCAGACGGAGTTCAGCTAACTCTTCGCTGGCCTCTGAGATGTGTTAGCGTTGCTGGACAGGACCTGAAGCTGATCCAATGTCAGCTGAGGTCTTAGCTTGCTGTTCAGCCAGCCAGCACATAGTTAGATTTGTAAGCCTTGCCCAAGAGATAAAAGCTCCTTAATGGAAAGAGGCTCTCGAACTCCTGCGGAAGTAGCAGCGGGTCTAAGATACATGCTGAAGGCAGAGTAGTTTTTCTTACATTGAAGTTGGGACTAAAGCATTTGGCTATTGTACACGTTCTACTGCTAGACACGTTGTTCCCAAAGACAGGGTTTTCAGATAATTTATATAGCAGCAAAGGGAACATCCTCAGGGAACTCAGGCTCTGTTTGTGCCAAATTCTACATATAGCAGAGATGATAGGCAGAGTAGCTGCACCTGCACCTAAAATAGACGTTGGCACTTCAGTCTCTCATTTCTTTTCACCTTGGTACATCACTGGAAACATTAGCTTGTGAAAAGGTCTGACTCTTGTTAAATTGCACCTGCTGTACAGATTGCACACGGGGCTGCCAGGAGGTTACAAGGCCTTGGGGTGGGGTATATCCTGTGCAGAACTAGGGCTGTCATCAGCAAGGTGTTGTGCAATGAGTTGGCTTGCTCCGGCCTGGTCTCTCCTCCCTCAGTTTGGTCTGGTCAGGGTCCAGATCAGGAGGCATAAGATGCAGGAAAGGTACCTTTTGGCCACCCAGTGGTCAAGAGAAAATGCCCCCAACTCAAAAGACCAGAGAGTGCTCAAAGGAGAGCACTCTCCAAGAAGGCTGTGTCCAGCATTCAGCATTACAGTGCGAAGTCCCCTCAGAACCCAGTTCTGCTGCCTTGTCTACAAATATGGGGCCCTTCCCATCTTCAAGACTAGTCCCAGTGGTTGCCATGGTAATGTGTAACCCCATTAGGAGTGTGGGGCTCTTCTCACTGTAACGCTGTCAGGCTGCAGACTGCCAAGCCTAGCCCATTGGGTTTCATTCTTCATGTACATCTTCACAGTGTGGGCCAGGGTCTCCTGAGTCACCATTTACCTCCTTTCACTTAACAGTAGAAAATCTCAGAGCCACCAGCTCCCATCCCACCCAACACAGCTTGTTCAGGATGCTGGTTAGGCTTGTGCCACTTGACGAATGCAGGGCCGGTTGCTTTAAGGAGGATGCACCAGAAAATTTGAAAGGCATGTGGCCACGGCCCTTCCTCCTTCTCTGCCTCTTTTAAAGGCCTATGCATGACAGTCACATGTCCCAGGTGGTGGTGAGCAGCTGGATGTAATAAAAGATGCCTTTGATGGAACATTCCCTTTGCAGAGTGAGGAGGTCTGAACATAGGCCTGGGAGCTAGGAACTTCAGCTTTGACATTGACTCCCTCCGTCCCTCTGGACAAGTCATTTTACTTTTACGAGTGCTCCATTTGTACAGTACGGGGTGGTTGTGAGCTATAATTCATAAGGGAGAGATTTTCAAAGGCACAAATGGACATTAGGTGCTCAGCTCCAACTGACTGTCAATCACAATCACAAGGGTAAGATCACAAGATTTAAAAAAAATGAAAAAGTTTACAACTGGTTAATGTGAATCCTAATGATCTGTGATAGCACTTCAACAGAAACTATCCAATGAAATAGTCATCTACTCAATTTCACTTAGTGTCAATAGGAGATATTAAGGACCAGATTCTGTTCTTCCTCAGACTGGTGTAACTAACTCAGTTGACTTCAGAAGAGTTACATCAATGTAAATCTGCAATAACAAATCATCATATAGCCCTAAGTAAATGTTGGGTTCATCAGAGCTTAAATACATGGGAGCTATTACTCTTCATTGCTTGAGATGACAAATGTGCTCCTAAATTGGCTATTAACAAATATTAACAGAGCTGATTAGGTGTGTGATTCTATTTGCAGTCTAATGGCTTAAAGGCTAGATTCTAATATTTGTGCCTGCTAAAGGTCAGATCTAAATGTGCCCATGCACGATGCTTCTCCTGTTAGTGAGGGGATTGACAAGGTCGGAAGTGCTAACTTAACAGAAACACTCCAGATCTTCATTCCATGTTTCCAGTATTTTAGCTCTATCAATTTGTAACTAACATTTGATGAATTGCCACAATTCTAGGGCCTGGACAAACAGAAAGTTCTGAAATGTATAACGTGAAATTACCTAGTTGGCTAAATATTATTGCTAGTGGGCAAGTGACCATTAAAAACACAATCCCAGCTGGCACAAATTGGAACCCTGTGTCATTGAGATAATTTGTTCATTTCAGTGTATACAAAGCATCAGTACTTAAACTCTAGGCTCTGTTAACAGTCTCAACAGAGATTCCCAGGACTGAACCGAACTGGAGATTTTCCTTCCTACATCAGGGTTGAGGCACATAAGTAGGGGAAGTGGGGTGGAAGCTTGCACTGCCACGGTCCATCTTGTACCTGCTCTGTAGACGAAAGATCCCAATCTCCTGGGGCTGCCAATCAGCACTGTTTGCCTCTCAGTTCTCCACAACAATTACACCCTGTCATGAAGCAAAGCCAGAAGTAGGTCAAATGTCAATAAATATGTCCCCTGGGAGCAAAGGAGGGTCATATGGAGCTGGAAGAAGTGATGTCAGAGCCTCAGAAATGGCCTGAGAGTCCAGTAAGTTCAGAGAAACCTCCAAAAGCGTAACCTCCTGCCCACTCCCAGACACTACTGTCACAACCCAGTCCCATTCGGTAGCGATTGCTTACTCCTGCACCAACAGATAGAGGTCTCCTTCCAGATGGATTGTGGCTTCACTGTAGCTGCACATTAAGTATGTACAACCTCAGGTTACAGAGTGCTTGAAGCCCATTGGTCATTTTGACCCAGACATGAAGGAAATTCCATCTGTGAATTACCGGACATCAGAAGGAGAATAAATCATTTTAGGGTTAAAGGGACAGTGTCAGGTCAAATATGGCCTGAAATTTTATAAAAATAATCATTTGCAAAATCTAAAGCCAGTACGTTTCCATCAAATACAATCTGAATGGGAAGGTTTAACCAATAAACATTCCTTTGCAGTGTATGCGGCACTGAGGACATGACAGTGGAACCTGCTAGAAAGTTACTACAGACAAACAGACAGTCTATTCTCATTGTGCAAGCTACGTGCATTTCAAAAAGTAAACAAAGATCTTAAATAATGAAAAATAAATCAAGTCTTTAAAGCCCTTTCAGTTTTAATAAGCTATGGGTTATTCATAAAGGAGTTAAGAAAACGTGTAATTTTTCACCTGGCAGTATCCCTTCAAGTGTGAAACAAATACACAATTAAGGGTCTAATTTTTAGAACCCACAGATCCAACTGAAATCAGTGGGAGTTTCAGATGTCTAGGATATCTAAAAATCAGGACACAAATATCCTGTGAAACTACTGACCCTTCATAACAGCTGCAGTTATCAAGGTCCCATAATGGATTACACATCTAGGGCAGCAAAAGCATCATTACTGTAAAAACTATTAATTTATTCAACATAAAATATCAAGTGTGGAATCAAACTATCCAGTCTTGCATTATTAACATAGGAACAAAAAGAATATTGTACAACAAGCTCAATATACACAAAGTTTTTTAAACATTAAAATGTATCCAGCTTAGAAACTGTACATTCAAACACAAGATAACATTCAATGTTCCTTCAGCAAGCATTTAGGAATACTAAATCACTCGTCAAAGCATGCTTGGAGAATTACATTCCCCACAACAGCTCTGCACATTAATTAATTGGACAGTTAACATATCTGTGAGCCCCAGAATTCTGTTTGCTCCTAAGTTTAATTCAAAATGATCTCATTTTATTTTTTAAAATGAACTAGCTATATTAATTCCTTCCCCAGTGAAAAATACACAACAGTGTTTAAAACAGAATCTTTGGAAGCTTAATTATATACATTAATAATGTTGCCATATTAACAAAATATGACGTGACTATTTATAGGCTATAGTGCATTAACCCAAATGTTATTCAGCTTTTCTCAATGGACAGGCTGGAACGTCCTTCTCCATTATTAACAACATCATTCAGGGACACTCACTCACTTCAGCTGCTTAAGGGCCAGATCCTGCTCCCACTCAAGTCAGTAGCAAAACTCCTATTGACTTCAGTGACACAGATTCAGCTCTTAAGGGCCTGATCCTGTCCCCTTTTACCTGGAGTCTGATTCAAAGCACACAGGAGTCAGTGGAAAGCCTCCTACTGACTTTAATGGGCTTTCCATCAGGCCTCAGGTAGGGACCGCTGTTCTTGACTGAAGGCCTATGAATTATAGTTACCTCAGCAGGGCCGATCCTGGTATTTTTATAACAAGGTACATTTTTCAATGCAGCATTTATATAAAACGAAAAGCAAAAATGCCTCTAAATGGCTTTTTATAATATTGTAAATGTCATATGTTAAACAGGTACCAGCTTCTCAACAGGATTAAAAGCCTTTGCATAGCCTATAAATATCTATTAAAATGAAATATTTTATTGGAAGTGTGTGTATATAAATACACACATACACACACACACACACACATACACTTCACATAAAACTCTCTGAATGCACATTTTGAAGGCCATTGCAATGTCACATCTTCAAACTGTTGAATGCTGACTCAAAAATCAAAGCAGTGTGTGCATATGATCATTTGAAAGGCAGAAGTAGATTTTTAAGTAGAGGAGGAGCTCAATAGCAAGCTAAAAGGCTCATTAGCTAGCCTGTTAACACAGCAATCCTGTGAGGCTGTAGGTTTCATGCATATGTTCTCTCCTCTAACACATACTTACAATGAATCGAGTTTTCAAAAGAGTCTCCAATTCTGGGCATCCAACTAACTGCCAGTGCAACTAACTGCAAGCACAAATGATAGAAGTTGGATGTCTAACCATGCTTCCCATCAGGTAGGGATCTA